TATATATGTAGTCAGATTATCGCAAACCGATTTTCCGCTAAATTCTGATCCAAAAAAAAGTAATGAAAAAAAAATAATTATTTAAACTTGTCATCTTTGAGCGTTCATGACTTTAAAATTTTTCAACGAAACTACTCCATTTAGCCCTTACGTAGATCTTAATTCAAAATGATCTCACGAAATAATTAATTTAAACAGGTTATCAGCTCTTTTACTTGTGAAAATAAGGATAGATTAAAAAATGGAAATTACTAAGAACACTGCAGACTTTAATGTAAAAAAATTTATTTAGTTAATAACCCCCTCCCGTTTTTAAATGAAGACTTTGCAATACATGTAAATAACTCGGTCAATTTGTATGTTATAAAAACAAAAGCCTTTATATAGGTGGTTCCGTTCAAGTCAATAAACATATAATGATATAATATACTATTAGCGAGTTATATTTTCGCACAACCACATGCAGCGCGGAAGTAATACTTAATATTCTTAAGTATAATGTGTTTACACACTTTACAGTAGCGAAACATGAGCCGATAACCGAAAGTTTCGCTACTAAATTAGTCCATGTAAGTGTAAGGGGCACATATATGTACGCAAGCCCGGTCACGACATCTACATAAAAAAGCGATTTTAACAATGTAACCACTGGGTTGACGTTGATGGCCACCGCTACAACTACTTAATTTTCTCTCTCATATATATAAGAATCAACATTGAAAATGGTAACCACTTTAGCGGCAGCACTGCATGAGAATGTGTATCGAGCGATACTACCGCCTCCAACTTAAAAGAAAAGAAAACACACACTCTACATAGTACATACTGCTCTGCTGGTAGCAGTGGTAGCGCTTGCGGAACACACCCTGAAGCGTGTGTACGCGGCTGGTTAGGCGAACAGACGAGGGGGAAAGAAAGAGTGAGAAGAAAGGGAGTCAAAAGAGAAGCAGCAAAAAACGGTGTCGACTCTCGACGGTATAGTGGACAGAACATAGCGCCGGGAAGAACGGTTCGACAGCAATCGTTCCAACGGTAAAGGTCGTAACATACTCTCAAAATACTCCAAATACCAGCAGTAAAAGTTAACCAAGTGTTAAAATATTGAGAATCCTAAAAAATCAGCTTTGGGTTAATTGCTAACGTTCCCGCTAGCAGCGTTCAACTTCACGCACTTCACTCCACTTATACCTATCCTATATCACCATCATCAGGAGCCGCGCGTCGCGGACGCCGGACGTGATCGCGTAGGCATTTAGGCATCAGCAGTACCTATATAGCAGCTTAGCAGCCGCCAAGTGAGTGCAGCGTGTGTATTGTATTAAGCCAGTTCCTTACAGAGTAGGTACCTACCTACGTAAAAGTATAATCAAGTACACCTAGGTACACCATAAGGGGGACGTAAACTAAAGTAAAGTGGACGTTGTATAGCGTGAAAACATAGCTGCCGGATAGAGAATAGGTGGTATACAGCTATATTGCACACCGCACTGAAATATTGTTCTCGCCTGGCGACGACCCTGACTGTACTGACCGAGCCGGACGAGACGCGCACAACCGGGGGCTGCGGGCGGACGGATCAGCCGGTGGTATAAGGAAGAGGAAGCAGTGTTATACGGCACGACTCTTTGGGGGTCGGCCTACCGACATTAGCAGCAGTGGCAGCAGCAGCGGCAACAGCAGCTGCGGAGGCGGAGGCAAAGGTGGCTAGCAGCAACAGCCACGCGAGTCCAGGAGTCGACGACACCACGTACACGCACGCAATGGAGAAACGGATAGAGTTGGAAAAACGGGGCAGGAAGCCCTCCGAAGTAAGTCACATACATATGTGTTTGTGTACCTAAATAATAGATATACCATTATCATTATCGTCGTCACCTGTATATACCCTACTGCACCACAACGTCCACAATCAGTGCTTAAGTCACGTTTTTCTCTTGCGTCCTCTCTCTCTCTCCGTATTACATGTTTTCTTCTTCACGCCGGGCTCTACAATTCTACAATACCTAGTCATGCTCTCCCGGTTTGTTTGCAAGCACATTATTATTATAATAATCATACTTTATTTTAAGCCCTTCCGTTCTCCATACTCATCGTTAATGTTATTATCGTCGCGTCGTCTTTTCTTTGCATTCTATATGTGTATGACGTACATGGGTAGCTTTACACGATGCAAATGCAACATGTATGCACGTATCGAATAAATAGATACCAATGCTCGCAGCTCTCTCTCTCTTTCTCTCATCTTCTCCGTTATTTTGTGTCTCGAATCTCGATGCGTTTAAAGCCGCCCGCGTGCTCTTGCGCCGAGAACTGCACCACATATATTATCTATGCGTGTGTATAGAGAGCAAGGCGCGCGTTTTGATCGGCTGCATGTCCCTGTTGCTGATGCCGGAGAGAAGCTGCGTAACACCGTGTGCGCCATCCCTGTTCCGTATATGCAGCTTCCACGATGTATCCCCTACTTTTTCTCATCACATATTCTTTCCGATACACACAACAGATGTGTGGATACATACATACATATATACATACACATACACACGAGGTGTTTATACCTATCACTCACAAGTGAGATGAAGAGGCAAAGAAGTATGGAGGACAAGTAGTAAGTATCTACCTAGTAAGTACACGCGACAACATTCACAACACACTTGTCGCGACAACGAAGGTGGTGGCGGTGGCCACAGCACCATAAGTAAGCCACACCGCATCGCCTGCATTACTTTTTTTTTTTTTTTTTTTTTTTTTTTTTTTTTTTTTTTTCATTACCCTTAGTAGTGGGTATCTTCTATGCACCTAATTTTACTTACCTGCCGTACACGTCCGTCTATGCAAGAACAATATACAACATACGTGCAATACGTCGTTATAATTGATCGGAGCGCATTAACGGGCCCTGCATAATTGCGCGTCACTCTTCTCTTTCGTCTATATATACTTATGTTGTGCTTCCCTCCACGTATTACCTACATGTATGCACCTGCTCGATTTCGAAATAGCTTATATGTATAATCAACCCGACCGATAATCATTCCTTAATATAGGTATATCACTGTCACTCTTTTCTGTATTCAAACGTCTGTGCGCATAATACGTATATGTATCACACACATCAGTACCAGTGTGTAATAACGGGGCGCGCACATCGACAAACCTAAATGCACACAGGTGCACGTAGTCCAACAAAATTCTACTATACTTGAGAAAAAAAAAAAAAAAACAATTAAAATTGGTTTATCAGGAAACACAAACGTAAAATTAATAACTCCCTCATTACCGATCATGATCTTTTTTTTTCTCCCGGCCAAATGGTTATAAGATACGTTTCAAAAAGCACACCTCTTCAAAACAATACCTACCTTAAACTGCCGCAAAAATTATTGTATACTAAACTTGTTAGTTTGATCTAAATTCGTGCAGTAATTTCAATTTCACACTTTGCCATTGATGACTGCACCTGTTTTATATCCGAGTCAATGATACTACGCTATTGTTGTGCTCTCTTGTTTTTTGACAACACTTCAGCACTGCGCCGTATCACTTCTCCCTCTTTCTTTTTGTCATCGGGTAAGTGTGTCGTGGAATGCACATTTATACGCTCGATTCTGGACAGGTACGTTAGTAATGTTCGATAACACGTCATGTATAAGAGTCAAGGTTCGAACCCAAAAGAGATGAGAGTCGACTGAAAAATTTTGGAGCAAAGATATCGGCGATCGCGAACCGATCTCTGAAATCATTTCCTCGAGTTCGAACACTGTTTGAAAGTGGTAACACAAGTGTACACATACGCACTTGTCATGCCGTTCCAAAACGCGGTAACGCCGAGAGTATGATGTGTGATATGCATAGTAATATCTTGTATGCTCAACAACAAAATATCCGTTTTTTTTATACCGCGCATGTGCACGCGCGCTTCGTCAAGAATGAAAACATACATATTTGTAATAGATAAATGTATACCCGCTGTTTGTTCTCGATTAGTCGATTTTACGTATACATCAGCAACTCTACACTAAATACAAATTAATCCATGTAATCCTCGAAATAAGGGAGCCTCCATCTCTATCAATCTCTTCAGTCCTATTAAACGCTCGTTACTTCATTTTGTATCAAGATCTACCCTTTCCTGCATTTCGGTAAAAAAAGTTACACTTCCCGGCTGCACTGGAGAGAAATAACGGGTTTTCCGTGAAATTACATGTATCAAGTACAATCCGCACGGAGCACACCTATAACAATACTTGTACGGATCAACAGTGTTGAAGTAACGCTAAATCAAATCGAACGGGAGGACGCGGGAAACACTCGAATCGCACCGGCCATATTGGACGAGTCCACTTTGACCAACGGCGTGCGCGCGTAAACATGTGCACATACATGATAATGTATTAAATTGTATCATTGTACACATTTATAATTCTACGATGTTGATGCTTGCACAAATATATATTATGCTGACCTGATGCATATATATATAGGTAGATTTAATGCACATTGAGAGAAAATGTGTCCATCGCAGGTGTTATACCATATACATAGTGACGGGGGCGCGCTCCTCTCTTGTCTATACAAGTGCTCATCGCTTGCGTCTTATTTTTCCCCTATGCTAAACTTATTCTCATTTATTTTGCTGTGCTTATACTTCTATTGATCATCATCTACGTAGATTTTTTTTTGTTTTTTTTTTTCCAAGTTTTACCCATATTGATTCAATTAAGAAAGAAAATTTTTAAAAAAACAAGTACTGATGTCAATAGTTATTAGTCAAGATCACCTTTCTGGACCAAGCACGCAGCGAAAAAAGAAAGCAGCTGTGCACCGCAAGCGCGGACGACTCGATCGGTGATGTGCATCTGTTTGTTTCTGTTTTACCCCCACCCTGTATTACCTATCGAAATCATACACCTTTCGAATGTGCATCATATCCATAATATGTTGAAGTTACAATACTTACATGCAAGTATTTTTTGCGCTTCCCTCGCACGTACTTTCACTCGACTACAATTATTGTTGGTGATATTCCTATTATTAATACTCTGTCGCTATCAAAGCAATCACGGCTGTGCCAGCGATTTTGGAGAGAGGGAGTACTTATACCAGAGTTGACACGATTCGATTTTTCGTTTTTCGGTCGCGTGCGAGAAATCAGTTATCATACATTCGCCATTACTTTTTCAAGTGTATGTAAGTAATTGGCGAATGTGGTATATATGATATACGTGTAGAGCGCGTCATGCACGATTACAGTTTTCTCAAAATTTGGTGCCTATACTAGTCACACGTATGTATAACAAAGTCGTTTAGTTTTGTTAGATATTACAACAATCGTTGTAAAATCCCTCCAAGGCCAAACGGCAATGAAACGCCGCTCGCGTGCCACATTAGTTGATATACAAGTATACCGTATCAGATGTGTTTGGCTTGCGTAACGATCGATTCGGTACGATAACGTCTGATAAAACCGCTCGATGATTTCCCGCTTCGCGCGATCCATCTTATTATGTGATTGCTGTTATACTCAGTTTTATAAATATGCACACCACACCACAAGAGGAGAACACAATTTCCCTAATTTTTTTTTGTCCTTCTAAACTTGTATACATTTACACTCTAAATCTCACCCTTGTCTCGCAAGATTTACGTAGTCACTGCAAATTTTTTTTTTTTTTTTAGTTCAAATTCCATATCGTCATTCTTCGTGTGGATGATTGAGTAATGATTAAAAACGTATCATCAATGTATAGGACATACGAAAATTACGTACGATTTTATTCGTCTTAACTTTAATCAAATAAAGATTTTTTTAGTGTTCAAACATATCAGGTAGAATTACACGTGTATGACAAATTAATTTCATTTTAATTTTTCCTGCAATTAATCTTTGAAAAATCCCGCCCAACAAAACACTTGATCTGTTTCAACCCAATCACACAACAAACAAAAAGGCTACCATCGGTCACCCGACATAATCAATATTTTTTGTGATAAGATCGGTACAACCACGAGGGGACAATGCCCCAAATCATTGCATTTACATTAGAGAGCAATAATAGCTAAATAAGCCAACAAGAAGGATAAATTAAAAATCGATACGTACTATATCGAGCGCGGGATTGGCACCTCCTCGACCTTCAATTTCGTGCGTATAAACGTGTACATATGCCTGATATACACGCCCGATGTATATGTGTTATATGCCACATTCGTATGCAAATACGTTCATAGAAAGAGCAGAGAAGATAGAAAAAAAAGTATCAAGAACAACGTTACAACGGGAGAGCTTCATAACATTATGGTGTGCTGTGTTGCTGCGAAATCGTTAAAAACTACTATGATTCACCGATTTTTTATTTTTCTCTCCTCCTACTTACCCCCGTCGGCTGTATTACACCGCAGAGTTGTCGTATACGTTTTTGATAGCAACATCATCAAATTAACGGATGCAATAACCGATCAAAAAAAAAAAACTCCTATTTCGTTACCGATCCTGTTATTGTCATCTTAATAAATTGCATATCCATCGACTCGTCGTGTCGCGCTTGATCATTTTGTTGGCACAATGTCGATCATGGTGGTACAATACAATACGTAGGTACGTGTATGTAATATAGGTACATCGCGAAGGGTGATGCACCGGCAACCCCCCGACCCAGTGCAGCGACTATAGAGCCAACGATTGTATTTGTTCACCTTTGGACACGCGCCATGTATCGTTTAATAACTGCATTAATATACAATACTGGACGTTTGTCCGATTAAACGGGCACCGATGCTCCTTTTCTCTTGATCCTTTTCGTTTCCGCGCGCGTAACTGGGCCACGCGCGCACGCGACCCTTGCATAAGGCACCAAATAAGCAAATATACATGTACATCCATTGATTTAAAATAGAAAAATCTACTGGCAGCATAGGTCCGTTTTTTTTTTTTTCTCTTCATCGACCTTCCTATTATACTTACAGGAACAACCTACGTCGTCTCACTCGGCAAAGCAAATGAACTCATTCGCCCTCGTGTGGATCGCTGTAAAAAGAAAAAATTAATTCCGCATCGCGCGAAGGACGACATCCGCAGTAGGTGCACGCGTGCACCCATACGTATAAGCACCACACTGGTGAATCGTGTAGACGAAAGGGAAGGGCGATATTATAAGGTATAGCTATATAAGGTACACAACCCGTTGGGCTGTCGAGCAACTGTAAAGCCCGAGTCGCGTCGTTGTCACGCGTCTTCTCTTCGGCGGCCTGCTTTCTCGCGCACGCGGAGGGCACACCGCCGCTTCCGTCTCTCCCTTTTCTTCCGCCTCCCCGGCTGATCGATAAAACGAGGAGCCTCTCCGCGAGCATCAACTACGAACGACAGCGGATACAATGTATACCACATGCGTGTCTCTTTCTCTCTCTTTCTCTGCTTCCGATGCTTTTTCGACGCGCGTGCCGTTAACTCTATTGGTGCGATGATCGACAATGATGATGATGATGATGATAAAAAAAATTTATTTGGGGGAAAAAAAAGTAAATTTAATCATTTTTGCAGATTACAGAATTCGTACTGGACAACTGTCGGAGTACAAACATCGTTGGGCTGACGGATGAGTTTGTCGCCCTTGAGTCGCTGAGCCTCATCAACGTGGGCCTCACCAGTTTGAAGGGCTTCCCCAAGCTGCCGAATCTTCTGAAGGTATATTTACACCGCGTTGCTGTTTCACACGATATAAGGTGCTGTGTGTGTGTGTGCGCGTATATATATAACAATCTGTGTACTTGTTGCAGCTGGAGCTCAGCGATAACAGAATATCGAGTGGCTTGAATCTCTTGCACACGAGCCCGAAACTTACCCATCTCAATCTGAGCGGCAACAAAATCAAGGATCTGGAGACGCTGCAGCCGCTCAAGGAATTCAAGAACCTCAAGTTCCTCGATCTCTTCAACAATGAAGCCACGAACATGGACAACTACAAGGAGAAAGTCTTCAACCTCATACCCAGTTTGCGGTATCTCGATGGGTTAGTTTATTTATTTTTTTATTTTTTTATTATTTTTTTTTTTTTCTCTTTTTGGAGAGTGTAAGGAAAAGGGAGTAAAATACTGTAGAAGAGTTTTCTATTAAACATAAAAATTTATAGATTCGACATTGATGATTGCGAAGTGGAAAGTGAGTGCGACGATGACGACGTCAATGGAAACGAAGAGGACGGAGAGGCTAATGAAGAGGATAGTGAAGATGGTAATTGCATCTTTTATAATATTTTCAATCCTTCTATGTCGACCCTAAAAAATCCTTACAGCTAGTTAATGATTATACGTTTTTTAGTTTCAGACGAAGAGGACGATGACGATATGGATGACACCCTGGGACAAATCTATCAAGATCTCGAGGTAAATATTAATCGTAACGATGTAAAAGTGATAACGGTTGATTTGATTGACGATGTTTATTTTTAACCGTATTTATTTATTATTATTTTAAAGGACGATAGCGATGATAATGAATTTAAGGCCGAAGAAGACGGAGGAGACGATGATGACGATGATTTTGACGATGAGGAAGATGAAGATGACGACGATGATGATAATGAGCAGAAAGAGCAAAAGCAACCATCTCAGCCAGGTATGTATTTTCATTGACGATAGGGTTCTCAAATAAAGTATTTTTCATGTAAACTAGTAATCTGATTTTTTGGATTTTTTTTCTGTTGTAGAAACATCCCCTGCCCGAGGTAAAAAGAGAAAACACGAAGATGGGGTAGGGTCGGAAAATTAAAAAATTTTTTTAACTCGATAGAATGTAAACTTTTTTTTTTAATTTTTTTTTTTTTTTTATTAATGTTAAGAAAAACTATGCCGCCGAGAAAACAACTGGGAATCAAATGTAATTGACCGACCAATGACAGACCGTGTGATTTCCGCAATTAATGATCAAACTGTAATTGTAACATACGATTTAAAATGAATTGCAGAAATAAAATGATATGCTTGTAAATGTAAGAGTGCTAGAGGGGAAAAAAGAAGGGGACAAAAGTGTGTGAGAGAGTAAAAGCAAAATAAATAATTATTGTAAGTCGTCAAAGGCGAAAGAAAACAAATGTTGAAAAATGGTCGATATATTAGAGGCCGCATTCCAGCTAGACCCTGTACAAGCGTTTTAGTTATGCTAACGATATTTTATATAGAGTATATAGTTAGATATTAGAGATGTTACGTATAGTTTTGGCGAGAAAACAGATAATGAGCGAAAAATGATCAGAGTTGTGGAGGCAAAAAGGGAAAAAAAGTAAAAAGTGGGACGGTACATAAGGCTGTCTTACACTTTGAAGGAGCGTATTTGTCTGTTAGCTCCACTGGGCCAAAGGCTGGGCTCATGCTGGAATGCAGCCGTCGTTAATCAGTACTAAGGTTATATTAGTTACATTTTAAATACATCATTATTGTACCATTATTAAGTGTAGATTGTAAACGAGGAAGAACATTTGTACAGGTTTACAAAGAAAAACCAATATCCCGTCAATGAGAACAAGGCACGGTGCCGCACTGTGATTTTTGAGATGAGAAATCAATCTCGCATACATAGGCGACGATCATGTTTGAATTATGTTTTATTACACTTTTTTTTATATCTCATACGATATAAAATTTATTACTCATTACTTCAGATTTAAAAAATTTGTTTTATATATTTAGATGTCAATAAGCATTATACAAATAATACATTTTTCTAATCTTGTATTAATAAAATCTTATGCTATGGATTTTTTTTTTCTTTCAATTCGAATAGTTCATTTCTAAAGTTCTTTTTATATTGTCAGATGGACCAAATACAATCAAGACAATTACGAAAATCAAGTATACAGCAGTGCTTTATAGACTCTTAATAACTTTCATATCGACAGCTACAAATTTTTTTCATACTGAGACAGATGGAAAAAAAAATCATTCACGAAAACTATTGTGTTACTATAACACATGTAACTTCTAAAACTAGGAAAGAATATTTTTCTTACAAGAGATGGGGAAATGGGGGGATAAAAGTGAATATGCTGTATGAAAACCGTTGCTTTCTGTCTCAAAGATCACCCACCGGCTCCTGAGCTATTTATGGTCTTGTGACAAACGATTAAAGTGGCAACTGTGACTATGCTTATTTTAGTATTACATTACAATGTGTGGAATCAAAAATGACAGAAATAGCGCGCGAGAAAGGATGGGAATTAATGTGCTTTTACAGTGAGTCAAAGTCGCTAAGTATATCGTAATATTAAGTTGAAGGGCAAATGTGATGAAGAATTCAAAAACCGAATGGAAAACAACGATTACATGGACCGAGTAAAAAAAATGACGATCAAGTGTATGAAAAAGATTAAGAGAATATTGATATTAAAATTGAAAAATTAATATTATGTTAAATATGAAATGATGGACGATGACGTAAATCGCGAGACCGAGAAGTACACTCGACGGTCGGGCGACGTAATTACAAAAGTGCGACTGTACAGATAGTAAAAAGAAATGAGGGAAACTTTTTATTTATTATTTTTTTTTTTAATAAAAAGAGTAATGTTGATAAAAATATTTAATTAAAAGATTTAAAGGAATGAAAGCGAGTAGAGGGAATACTTGTGTGGTGAGAGAGAAAGACATAATCGAGAAACAGTGGTGACACGCCACTTGTCGCCAGATCGGTTTTATGGCCTTATCCAACTTTTCCAAGACTAAAAGAAAATTCATATTTGCTACCAGCGATAGTGAGCGAGACGATTATATGTACAGCCAATTTTTATTATTATTATAATTAAAAAATTATATTAATACAAAAAGCTTGCGGTTCGCACGGAATGAATGGGCCAACCAACGATCTTATTCTCTCGGATCTCGAGACACGTATGTACAATCAAATTGAGTAACCCCATGTAAACGAATGCACCGATGTTCAAATTGAAAAAAATACTAAACAAAGTCACTGCGAGCCACGTGGCTTTTGCAAAGATTGTAAAAGCATAATTTAGAAGGAAAAAAAAAAAAAAAAAAAACAATGGACGAAAATAATGAAATCGAAAGCTCGACGATCTCTTACCTATTAGCTTTCATATCTCGCGTGCCTATACGTGCGTGTACGTATCGTACAGATAGGTATATTTTTTTGGGAGCCATTTTAATCTCTCCATCCCTTAAGGTGGTATAAGGGATTTAGTAATAAAAGTAATAATAATTATCGTCACGATCAAACTTATCAGTTTGTCACGAAATTAAATTGAAGTATAATTGTACAAGTACAACAAAAAAACTCATAAGAGAGAAAATGATGAGTGTGTCGAAATCAAAAAGAAAAGTAACGAGAGATTACTCAGGTAATGTGGGATGTTGAATTGAGAGAACGGTATGACCAATAATTCCGGGCGACCCGCGACACTGAGGCGCTTTTGTCAATTGCAGTTTTCAGATTGATCCTCTATATGCACTTTAGTGTTGAGAACAATCTCTATTGTTACACCGCATCATCTGTCTGCGTTTTTCTCCTTTTATCGAACGTTCATTTTTTTTTCTCCGAGTGAACACACATACGTACCTACATTGTATCCTCATTGCGAGACAGAAAATATAAGTTATAGGTAAAAAGAAAGGCACTTTACGATTCAATTAAAGCTCGGTGTATCATTTCGTGGGACTTACTATTTCCACGCGACTAGGCGTCAAATCTCATTGTGCAAGTCCATTTTTTTCCAAGTAAATGAAATATACTTTTGTCTTTGAAAAATTATATTATACGAGACGCGAGCAGATATAAAGGAATAAAATTCCTTTTTCAATATTTCTAAAAAAATAAAATAAAATAAAATAAAAAAAAAAAACATATGGAGTATAAATAATAGCCTGTCGGGGTCTCTGCAAAACGTGTTTTAAAGCCACTGCTGTGGAATAGCGAAATGTGTATATTTTGGAAGAAACTTGTGAAAATTCAAAAATATCTACAAAATTTTCATTGCCACCGTTTGCGCGGCTCTGCTGGCAATAGGTAGGTTGAAAAATTGCAGAAAAGTGCATTATGTGCAAGCGCATATATATAGGCGTTTTTCGGGACCTCGGACGCCAGGCCTTGAATAATTCTCACTTTACGATAAATGTTTTAGAAATGCAGATTTATAAGAAATTTATCTTAATATGATAGGCATTATATTTTTGTATAATTTAATTTCGGTTTTTAAGTATGATTAATTTGTTGAAAATAAATAATACATTTAACATACGAGAACATGTTTTTATTTTAATTTACCTTTGATTGTCCGCTCATCTTTAGTTGCTACAAATATACGTTTCAAATTACGTATGCTAGAAAATTTTGAAAATTAGGGAAGTACGAATGTACTCCCTGGTTGTAAAAAATCTCGAGAGAATGTAAGAAAAAAATTAACTAAATTTTCAACTTTCTTGGACATCCAGCTGAAAATACATGTACATTCTACATAGGATGATAAATAAAACAATTTGTTGCAACAACAATTCAACGCGTTGTTGATTCTACAGAAAAATACCTACGTGTCTGATAAGTTCCTGATGCTCTGAACACAAGTTTTTTTAAATCTTAATTAATGGCTTTTTCGAACAATGCAAATTGTTTAAACTAAAAAACCGAACAGAAACAGTCAGTATTAAGTTTCTTATATCATTTTTCGTAAAATTTTCCCTCGAAAAAGAAATATTTTAATTTTGTATAAAATTTCTTCAGAAATATTTTGAACGCATAATTATATATAAATTAAAAAAAAAAACGAAAGAAAGCACAACTCTTACAAAATCACTCTACCTATTTAAGACCGATTTTGATTACCAAATTACGCGGCTACCAAAATCAAAAACGACGCCAAATTCCATCACTACGATGTCTTTTAGTTATCAGTTGTCAAAATGTTATCTTCAGACAACTGATAACTAAAAGACACGTCTTAGTGATGGAATTTGGCATCTATGCGATGTCAGTCATAATCATTGTTTTGTGGGAGAATTAATTGAAGGTGCTGTCGGTATTGATACAGAAGGACGGGCTCTATCGTACCGATAGTTAACGCTCTTACCGGTTGCAGGTCTCTTCTCCACCTGTTATCAGCCGACGATAATATTTTATCTGTGTAGTGATTTCTTTCTAGCGGAAAACTCTAGACAGAGCGCACTAAAATCTAGGGTTTTTAAAATACGGATTCCCCTAGATGGATGGACTCCGAAAATCACAACGCTAGATGGCGCTGACACGATAAAGAGGGTATCGAAATCCGTGCCGTGTGCCGTGTATGGCTGCTTTTGCAACCAATGTTAGTAGTGTAGTGTCAGAAGTGTCAGTACTCTTTGGCACACCGCACAAAACGGTTGTGCAAGTGTGTATGTATGTGCTATACTGTAGGCGTCAACAACCGGGATTGTCGGACGCGCTGTGTGCTGCTGTTTTACTACTGCCTCCCCCGTTGTACAGCATATAATCAAATAAATTTGCATCGATATCAAACTAATTGAAAGACAGGGCAAGTTTTGTTGTGGTTGTCTTTCCTAATCTTCATTTTATTTGATATCGTTACTTCTGTTCCGTGTAATCGCTCCAAAAAAGTTACCGGTAGAGAAAGAGAGAAACGTAATATTATATATACAAATAAATATATATATGAACGTGTGTGTTTTTTGATTATCAGCAGTGACATCGTTTGTATCTCTTCGTGCGTTAGAAGGAGACAAAAACAGACGACGTACATATTTACAATACACATAAGTGTACATTTATCGCGAAAAAAAGAGTGCATCGCATACATCGACAACTACGTACAGGGGACATCATCATCCAGCACCGATCGAGTGCATCATTATTAAAGTCCATCCGCGGTTATCAGTGCTCGTCGTCTGCTTGTGCATTTTTGCTGCCGCATACATTTTACGTATATTTTTTTGTGGGCCGCAATACGTGGCCTCTGTCCGACTATTACAACGGCAACTAAATTCAGCAACTCGAAGCTCCAGTTATCCGACATGGCAGAGAGCAAAGGAGCGCTTCTCGCCAAGAGCGTGCAGAAGCACGCAGGCAGAGCTAAGGAAAAGGTAAGCCAGACATTTAACAAAAAAATGTAAAAAAAATAATAATAATCAAACACAGCCATTCATCAACTCACGCTGGATTTATCACCCTTCCCTTGGTACTGTACTAGATCGCCCTGTGTATTTTCCACATCATCCCCCGTGATCCCTCTCTCTCTCTCTCTCTCTCTCTCTCGACTCTTTAATCATCTGAATCCATCCTAACCTCAATTCGTATATATATATTGCTACGTCAAAAGCTGTTGTCAAAAGTAACATTAACAGTGAAAATATGTACATGGAAAAAAAAGATAAGAGTTGTGCGTGCGCTCTTCCACAAACATAAATCTGTAACAACCATAACAATTTTGTATAAGTAAAACAACACAATTCACTCTCACCGTTTTTTCAACAAAACGTCATAAGCCGATAACGAGCGAACAACACATAAGTAGGTATACTTGTGTGGATTGTAGTAAGTGTATTATCGGTGGGACGTATTTGAAAAAGTTTCACCATTTCGAAGTTGTTTTTTTAAATTCAGCAAAGATTTGATCGACTCAGACTCCGAAAAATTGCCATTTATGTCATTTTATCATCATCTTATTCAACAGGTATAAGTAGCTACGGTAAGCTCACGATAACCCAAGTGAGTTATATTTTTTTTTCAAAACGCTCGTTCAAGTACATAGTTGCAGTTGCGAACTTTCGTTGTAAGCCCTGTACCCGATCATAAATGAAACGATGGTAAGAATTTCAATCTGATCGATGAGGATCGATGGAAAAATCGGTTTGTTACGTTGACCTAAAAGCATGCACTGCAGGGTCTCACCACCCTTTCGAGGATAACTATCCTTGCAATTTTAAATACGTTGATCTCGTTACACTTTGCAAATCGGTACTCGATCCACGCGTCTTTCCTCCCTTCGTCCAGTACACCTTTTTCAATTACTGTATTTTTATAGATACCTTTACCTGCTCAAAACTTAACTCTTTTTAACGAACGAGCAAACGGCCGATCCTCTTCCGTTTTTTGAAGAAGAGGAGATAGAAAAAAACCCGCGTGTGCGAATTGTTTCGTTCGCTCGATACACAACAGATACCTACATAGGTGTACACTGCATGTAGGTATTCAACGACGCTTTATATCGAGAAGCCATAATAGGTGTACCATTGGTTGCTGTGTATAGAAAGGCTTGATTCTACTTCACTGCTTTTTTTTTATCCCACGCGTCGTATGCGAGATCGATCGAAAATTATGTAAAAATAATCTCTCAATAACTATAGCTTACGTTCAATCTAAATTATATTGTACACGAGCAATAGCTGCTCCAGTCATCGTATCTAAATATTATTACACTTTGCATACCGATTAAAAACAGCATTCCACCAGCAGTAAATGATAAAAAAAAAAAAAGTGTACGCATCTATGTCGGCGTTGGTTTAATATGCATAAAACAATATCGACGTTGCGAATCGTTGGATAATTATTCTTAAAATAAAGAATACCGAGGATCGATAAAGCACGATCGATCGTTGAAGAAAAAAAAAAGTCGATTGCGTAAGATAATTAATTTTGTCGAGAAGGAGTGATTACTTTTTCCACCAACTGCCAGTATGGTCTACTTTACGACAACAGTGGCGTATACAGCAGGTGCACATCATCTCATCACCAAACAAGTAAAAATGCGTTTCGAGTTTGAATCCCATCGTATAGATACGGAATGATAAAGCGACGCGGCTCGTTCCGTGCCATTTACCGATGTCGACGTATATTTTCCTACTTTTGTGCTCAGGTGCATGATGCACATTAAGAGCTGATCTACGTCGCAGAGCTTATTACACAACACCGGGATTTGACGCGCTCGTGTGTGTAATGTGTCACAGGGACATCGCATAATACATGTACACATATACTTGGCGTATAATATATATTATACGAGTCTGCCGCGCGCAAGAAAAACTGAATGACGACTCCTTCGTGAGTATACGCGGTGCTATGCAGTATCACATCACCGTCCGTTTTTAAGTATATAAGTGTGTATATGCATGGGTATGTATGTACCTGACGATTTCTTACGCAACGTCCGTCGTGTATAATAAAGTGCCGAAATTGGAGACGCGTTGGCCATCTCCCACGCGCTGTTGAACCAAGTATAATATAACTATTAGTCTGCCAAGCTAACCTCGTAGTAAGTATATAATCGAAGCCCCAGACGTGCCATTTCCTCTCCCGGTATCTGTCATAATTATATTACGCGCATAACAATAACAAATTGGTATTTCTTTCGTCGCCCTGTATAGGTACATTGGAATATTTATAAAGATCGGTAACCCTAATTTTAGATAAGCAGGTAATTATGCTGCACTCTTTCTGTCAATTTTTTTTTTTTTTTTTTTTTTTTTTTTTGCCATCTGCGAGTAGTGTCATATTTATAGAATATGAGTAACTTTCAATGTGTATGAAAAAAGTATACAACGAAAGATGTCGAGGAAACAAAAGCAAAACCATCACCTTATTCTATTACGACGTATTTTTCATTCGAAACTGTGAAACGCATTTGCATCGTGAAAAAATCGGGGAGTGTAAACAAAATCGGTTTTGCGCAGCAATGGCACGTACAAAATTCGTTCATGCAAAACGAGACGAACTTTCACTTTCAAAACTATTATTCGTTCGTCAGTGTGTGACGGGCGAGATAAAAGGAACGAAAGGCTCATCGATAAAAATTTTTTCCCTTTCGCACGGCAAACGTGGATGAATCCGTAATAACCGTGTATACCTAAAAACAGCACTGCAGCCTCCAGGCCTTGTGCGCACGAATATTCGCACAGTACACGGAGTTTATTAAGTACATATACGTATACACGTCAACGTGCACTACGTAAAAGCATACGTCATCATAATATTATATGCGGTATATACATGGTGTACGCACGAACGAAAAGGCCCGAAGGAGATGGGTATACTCGAGGTATACCCATATATTTGTCTTGCCGAATTAACAATTCCCGGATTGCTGTATGTATAAGTAGGTACAGCAACAACCTGCCGAAGCATCAACAGTAATGGTAAAAGGAGGAGAGCGTTAAGTACCGCCGCAGCAGCTCTTGCAATAAGTACCTATACCGCACAATTCCTCGTCTCGACGCGACGCCCTTGCGAAATAGGAGATAATAACCAGCGCTACAGCTACTTACATCCACCGATTGACGCAACAGCGCTTCCATTATAGCTGCTTATATATACATAAAGTGGCATTTGCATATTTTGTGTGTGTGTGTGTGTACGGTTGCTCATCTCGATCTCCTCACAAACTGCTTGCTGGTGTATATTATTATATTTACTTGAGTATACTAGCATAAGAGAGTCGGGGTGCAAGTCGTCTTGTTAATGCAACATTAGGCAAATTATTGTTATTCGGGGTCTTACTTATACTTCATTGACAGTATTTACACAAGGCACTACACTTTGTTAAACTCTAGATTTCACCCCCTTTTTTTACTTTTATTTTTTCACTCAATTTACAATACGTGAGTTGTGTCAAAATTTACACAACATAATTATGGTCGATAACAAAACAAAACAAAACAAAAAACTTTGATAATCCCGTTTAATATTGTAAATTAACAAGTTGTTAAACTCTATTACATACACAACTATATATTCGAGTATATATTATTATGCTTCCATTTTACGTATTAATCACGTGGGCTATACTCCAACACACACGCACGCATTCGTGATATATTTATTTATATCAATGATGTGGATGCAACTACCATGTTGTTCCTTTTGCTGTTGCAACGGCACCCGGCAGGTATATTCCGTTATGTATGTGCGTACACAGGTACCTATATATATATATAATATATGTCTACTCGATCGTCGAGAGAGTAATAAAAAGGAAAAAACCTAAAAGAGTAAAAGGCCGATGCCGTGTGCTGCTGAGCCCATGTTCCTGCCGGCACGCGAGACGTTTAATTAAATCTTATAAAGACTCCCCTGGCAGTTCTAATAAACTGTATAGGTATAGGTATATCGAATTTCGAGTGTACCTATTTCATAGTTTAATGTATACACACTCGCAAAGACACGCGTACGCATGGATGTATGGAATGAATAAATAAATCGGTAATAAAATGTTTCGGCAAACTAGATCGGATGACTAGTAGTTGGAGAGTTGACTGACTCTATTTGACCATTTGACCAAAAAAAAAAAAATCCTCCACACCCTACAGTACTTTTTAGTACTTCCAGGTGCATCTTTCTGTTTTTTTTTTTTTTTTTTATTCCCATAACAGTTGAATAAAAAACTCCAGCGTAATTTCAGGAGAAATAAAATTCGGTACTTTGAATACTGTACCACATACGAAGAACACGCTCAAACTATGCGCCATCGCGCTTTCGAAATTGCCGAGCGACTCTCGGTAGGTACTGTTCGTTTGCTGCCGCTTTTCTTGGCTTCTTCGACGATAGCAAGGAGTGCAATGCGATATGCACAAGTACAGTTAACTCGATCCTCTAATCCGTGCGTGCATGTATATACGTTGGTATGCAAGTAAGGAGGTATACATATAAATACGTATATATATATACCTGTACAAGATATTATTTCCACTGTTTGCCGTGAACAACGTTATTGATTAATGCGTATCTTCTACTACGCCTGTGTACAGTCGTCTCGAGAAATTGGATGTACCGTTGGTTCGGCTCCCCAATAACTGGGATAGTAATCATTTTTTTTTTTTTTTTTTTCCTCGACAAAATATTTGCGACGCTTTTCCTACGTGTACATCAAGCCATCGTGGCTTTCAAGATGTACTAGTGTACGATATTATAAGCAAGAATAGGTATACGCATACCCATGATCAGCAGGCCCCAAAGATCTAAGTAGTCTGTGCATAGCTTTCGGACACAAGATTGATATTTCCTCGACACCGAGTATATATACGTGCAATATTTATTATGATTCAGCTCGTATACGTCAATAATCGTCATCGTGGTGACGCTGCACAAAAGC